AATACACCAAATTAATCAGAGCCACACAATACACCAAATTAATCAGAGCCACACAATACACCAAATTAATCAGAGCCACACAATACACCAAATTAATCAGAGCTACACAATACACCAAATTAATCAGAGCCACACAATACACCAAATTAAGCTGACCTACACAATACACCAAATTAATCAGAGCTACACAATCCACCAAATTAATCAGAGCTACACAATACACCAAATTAATCAGAGCCACACAATACACCAAATTAAGCTGACCTACACAATACACCAAATTAATCAGAGCCACACAATACACCAAATTAAGCTGAGTTACACAATATTCCATACTGAAACACATGCAATAACTGAATGTGTTAACTTTCTTAACACTTCTAGGCATACTTTAATAGTACTTGTAAGACAATAGCTAGCTCTCTGTGTACAGATGTTGCATATCGACACCTCGACTGACACAGTGCGTACAAGTTTAAATTATTTGTAGTGTAAAACTGGTGCCGAACATTAACTATTAGTGAGACTGAATAACAGAATTTAAGTAAAAATATCATACTCATGTTATAACTTGTAAATTGGTATATTACAACTAGTGTGACAGTTTATCCATTTATTAGAGAAATACAACCTAAACTGAATTGTTATATTCACATACCCCTGACTAAAATCCAGAGCTAAAAAGGAGGATCAGTTCTCCCCTTACTGACTGAAATGGGTTTTTCATACATTGTTTTTTGTACACTCTTCATTTTTTTTACTAAAAATCATCATTCTGACCAAAACTTGTTTGCAACTGATTTGTCAATGTCTTTATTCACTGATTCGGAGTATTAACAACTGCTTGACAATAAAAATACATATATCAGGTGCTGCTGTGAATCTTAATGTAATTTTTGTACTTTTTTATTGTTTAACCTCAGTAAACTTTCTGTTTGTGAACAATTACACAATCAGTGGACCTTGATATTTAAAGTTTTTAACATTTTGATTTTAAAATGCACAACAACATGACAAAAACAACATGACTAACCTTCACTTAATTAACAAACAACAACTACATGACTAACCTTCACTTAATTAACAAACAACAACAACATGACTAACCTTCACTTAATTAACAAACAACAACATGACTAACCTTCACTTAATTAACAAACAACTACATGACTAACCTTCACTTAATTAACAAACATCAACTACATGACTTACCTTCACTTAATTAACAAACATCAACAACATGACTAACTTTGAATGCACTGTTTAGTCTTGGTATTTTTTTTGCAGACATAATGTATGTTTCCATAAGCTTGTCTTTACTTTAAGAACACTGTTCTCATGTCACCTACTTGTTCAGTTTCTCCCAGCATGCCTCACACACTCGAACTTCTTTCTCGATACCAAACCTAGGTATAGCTGAATTTCTTGAAGAGCATTTACCACAGAAAATCTGTCCACAGTTTCGGCAATGGTGCTATGGAAAATTAAATTTGATAAAATAATCTTATACGAGCATGCTAAACATTATCAAATATTTGAAATTAGTTTACATTTCTCTGTTTTAGCTTCTTTACGGTGATTTTTAACAAAAATCATGAAACATCTGTTTAATTGGACCTACATAGTTTTTATGTAGGCCTAACTAACCAACTACTTGAAACGACCTTCAACAGTTTAGCTAACCCTTATTAACACATCTGTTTAATTGGACCTACATAGTTTTTATGTAGGCCTAACTAACCAACTACTTGAAACGACTTCAACAGTTTAGCTAACCCTTATTAACACATCTGTTTAATTGGACCTACATAGTTTTTATGCAGGCCTAACTAACCAACTACTTGAAACGACTTCAACAGTTTAGCTAACCCTTATTAACACATCTGTTTAATTGGACCTACATAGTTTTTATGTAGGCCTAACTAACCAACTACTTGAAACGACTTCAACAGTTTAGCTAACCCTTACTAACACACCGTAACAGTACCTTTCTCTGAACGACCGTGAACTGAACTCGACACCGGTGACAACAGTCTCCATCAGCCCACTCTGGCGCAGTGTCGGCAGCAAACATGGCATCACTTTCCTTAAGTGCAGGGAATTTGAATCCTTTATTAACAAAACAAAGTTCATAGTTTATCAAAATTTGTGTTTGTACAATCTGACAGATTTATGGTAACATGTCATTCGAACTGCTTTACCATTTACCCATTTTTGACATGGCTCACAAATCATGAGTGTTCCTGTTTCTGATACTTCAAAATTTCAAAATACTCCCTCACCCAAAAAAAGTATTTTGTAAATATGCAAAATACAAACACATGTTTCATCTTAATAAAAGCTTGAGAAATAAAGAATATGTTTTAAGACAAAAATTACAAAGTTAATCTATGAATACTTCTTTATATTTGACCTTTGAACTTTGGAGAAAAAGAATACATCAGAAGTGGTCCAAAAGAAAAGATTATTTCAGGTATAGAAGTTATCTAAAATAAAAAAAACTGTAACGTTCTTGAAATAAAAAAAGTATTTACACAAAAAATGTAATAAAATTTTGTGCGTAAAAATTCATTAGTAGCTTGCTTTTCTTCACATTTTGTTGTTGTTTCAGTTTAATGTTTTAAATTCTCAAGTTTCTATACTGAAGTGAAACTAATTAGCTTAGTTTTTTTATTCAAAATACTAAAGAAATTCTTCATTATTTGCAAGGAAATGAAATTTTCATTTTATTTAAATTCCAACATTTTACAACCACATCAACAAAGTTGTAACTTAAGATAAAACCACAAAACTCAGTTTTGCAGTTGTATCTTAAGTTACAAATGTCCCGGGACATTTGTAACTTAAGATAAAAACCACAAACTGGGACATTTGTAACTTAAGATAAAACCACGATACAGACATTGTAAGTATCAACATTATAAATGATTCACACAGACTTTTCATTACCTTCCATTTTCATGAGATTCACGGTATCCTGAACTGCTCGGTAACTGGGTTCGTTGCGGAAGGCATGGGCCCAAGTTTGAATTAGTTCTAATATTTTGTTCTTCACATTTTCGTTAGTAGTCGTCTGTAACAGAAAACACACGATTGGCCTATAGTGCTATGGCAACACAGGATTCAAGTTAAACCAAAAACATATTTATAAAACATTAGCAAAATAATCATTCAAGACTAAACTATGAACCTCTAATCTGACTCGTAACAAATGAATAAAAAAGTAAGGTAGTGGAGAAATCAAGATATTAGTAAATTACAAAAATTCTAGTTCCTCTTTAAACTAATTGTTATCGATATAGTTCTGTCACACTTTATTATATCAGAACAAATCCCAACATAAATTTTTCTATATACTGAGTGCTCATATGAAGTGTTCTTTAATGTCATATTTATTTCACTTTGGGAGCCAGTTTCACGATTCTGTTTGTGGCAGCCAACTATAACTCATGTGACTAATTCTCAGCCATATTACACAATGTGAAGATACAGACTACATCTGAACACTTCCATGGGTCATCCCCGATTTTAACATACCATCACTTTGGTTCTTTGTAGAGATGAAAACTTGTGTGTCTTCTGTCCAACGTACTACCTTGTAGAGATGAAACTTGTGTGTCTTCTGTCCTACCTACTACCTTGTAGAGATGAAAACTTGTGTGTATTCTGTCCAACGTACTACCTTGTAGAGATGGAAACGTATGTCTTCTGTCCAACGTACTACCTTGTAGAGATGGAAACTTGTGCGTCTTCTGTCCAACGTACTACCTTGTAGAGATGGAAACTTGTGTGTCTTCTGTCCAACATACTACCTTGTAGAGATGGAAACTTGTGTGTATTCTGTCCAACGTACTACCTTGTAGATATGGAAACTTGTGTGTCTTCTGTCCAACGTACTACCTTGTAGAGATGGAAACTTGTGTGTCTTCTGTCCAACATACTACCTTGTAGAGATGGAAACTTGTGTATCTTTCTGTCCAACGTACTACCTTGTAGAGATGGAAACTTGTGTGTATTCCGTCCAACATACTACCTTGTAGAGATGGAAACTCGTGTGTCTTCTGTCCAACGTACTACCTTGTAGAGATGGAAACTTGTGTGTCTTCTGTCCAACGTACTACCTTGTAGAGATGGAAACTTGTGTGTCTTCTGTCCTACATACTACCTTGTAGAGACGGAAACTTGTGTGTCTTCTGTCCTACATACTACCTTATAGAGACAGAAACTTGTGTGTCCTCTGTCCTACGTACTACCTTATAGAGACAGAAACTTGTGTGTCTTCTGTCCTACATACTACCTTGTAGAGACAGAAACTTGTGTGTGTTCTGTCTACACACGTTAAACACAGTTTAAACTTTCTGTGAAGGTAATAAGAAATTTCAGATTGGTTAAACTTTCCAAGCTTGTTTTCCCACACTTTTATGTAAAACTGCTGTAAGAAAACATGATAAAAAATGCCCACATTTTCAAACAACTACTGGAACTATGCTTCAAGACAAATAACCAACCTTGATCAGCTCTCTGAGTTCCTCCATAAAAGATCTGGATGTGATTTCTTGATGAAAGGGAGCACCACAGTTCTTCACACAGGATTCTAGGACCTAGAATTGAAACAAAAACAGTATAACAATATTAAAAGAATCCTTCTATTATATACTCCAGTATTATAACAGATGTGTAATGGATATTGACTATGGGTTCATAACTCTGTGAGTTTGTTGGGGGTCCATTAACCTTATTGTTACAGGGTTGAACCCATTTGGCTACTTCTCGTATCAAGAATGATACACAGTTCTACGATACTTACAATAACTATGAGATTTCTTAACATATCTTTACAGCAATTGATAAGAATTTGTTAAAAATTACAAGTATTTTTTAAACAAAAAATGAGATAAAAGATCTCTTATTTTTGTATTCTAGCTATTTGTACACAGATTCTGAATACTTTGAATATTATCATCAATCTACTGTACAATGAAATGTTTAAAATTAAAAATAGAAAAAACCATCTACATATCTTTTAATTTTTCATCGAATAATCTTAAAAAAATCTTTTTTTGGTAATATTCTTAATTGTAAGTTTTTTACTTTTTCCCATATAGTTTATTTTTGATGTTCTATTTTTCCCTTCTTGTCTTTTAGTACTATTACCTATCCCAACACACACACACATCAATGGGCAATCTCGGGCAATATTAGTGTATCATTGGCAGAGACACTTTAGCCTTCGTCAGAATGTTGGGACACTCATCTACTACACTAAGCTTGATGAACCGAAGCAATGTGGCTTATATCTAAAAAAATTAATAAACCTTTCTAATATGCAATTTAAACATACTTAATTTTCATGGATTATTTTTCAAATTAAGTACACTTTTCAACCTACAATTAGGAGTCTTATTTAATGTAAGTATAAGACACGTGCAAAGTTAGTCAACAAGAACTGCTCACATTTAAAGTAAATTGTTGTGCACACCTACGCAAAAAGTCACGTGAGCTATTGGTCTAGCATTTCTATTACATGGACCATTTTTGTCATTCAGATTAAAGACAGCTTATTTAGAGCAGCAAAACTATAAGGTGAAAGGACGTACAGATTCACAAGTATTGGTTAGGCCAATCAAACTAAATTAGCAGTTTCTAACTCAAGTTTTCAAAAGAATCATACGGGTGGACAATTATTATTCAATGCTAACTTGTAAGTGCAAATGTAAATAATGATGCTTGATATGACTGTACCAATTGTATGGGGGTGATGACAAGAAACTGTTAATCTAAATTCCATAGCGTTACTATAAAGGAAGAAGTTATTAATACTGTTTTAGAGAGGAAAAACTATCACCATATATTTTAATGAATCTGGTTGGTTTTCTAAAGTATAGGCCTGTTTCTAATAATGGGGTTGCGATTCTAATGCTAATGTTGGTTACTATCGAGTGTCACTTTCTTACTTGCTGTGTTTTGTTGGTGTGTATTGACAAAAGTCACGATATCTAGTCAAAAACATCTTAGGTGTGAAAAAAAGGTGCAGCCAAAAAAGGATTGAGCGTATGACTTAAAGGAATGAAATCAAAATTGGTGGCCAAACTGGTATCTACACTTATAGCATTGATAACAATTTTACAGATAATATTCATCCATTAGTTAGCTAGGCTGCATATTTTGTTTTATCCACCATCATGCCCCGAGTTACACAAGTTAGCGTACATCAATAAGTATTAAAGTTACAAGGTCGAGAAGTTAAGATTTTGTGAAATTGTGCATTAAACTGAAGTTTAAGAATTTTTCTTCAATGTTTTGAAATAAGGGAATCAAACCTTAGATAATATAAAACTTTGAAGTATAATGTAAATTTCTTTGGCATATACTGATAGTAACATTGCTTAATTGAATCTTTAATGTAACAAAGTCAAATCTTGTAACATGTGCAGTACAGGGGTGCCAGTGATACAATTAAATGAGGTTCAATAGATATAAAGTAAGAGACTAGGGGTTCATAACTCCAACCAAGTTTGTTTTAAAAAGAGTTAAAATATAAAAATGTACAACTACAAAAAACCTAGAGAGACAAACAGAACAATCTTAAAACAAAAGCAGATAAATTGTAGGAGAGATGAAGTAACACCTTAGTCTCACAAGTCAAGTTAACATGTAGCTTACTTTCTGTGTACTCAGATTAAAAAAAATCTTTCGGTCACTTAACACATTGCGGACAGATTACGAGTTTACTCGTGTTTTGTGCAAAGCGTTTTTGTGTGCCATTTATTAAAACGTTGAGTTTGAAATGAGCCAGATGCATTTTATTTTGTTTATAACTCAACTATATTTAATATTTATTTGAAACTTAGAGAGTATGTACATCTTGTAAAACATTTTCCAATATGGAGTGGAACCACACAAAACTTGCATGCGTTTCATTTCTTTTCCCATGGCCGGTACAAACTCTGCAGGCTCTGGTAGGAAATTTCTTTTTTCCTGTAGATCAAATGAACACAGGAATATGCTGCTTCATGTCACCAGACAGTCTTCCTGGGGGATCCTTATGTGTGGCTATCCTCGTACCTTCAAATGATGAACCAGGTTTGTTCCTCTCTAGTTCCAGTGAACCTTCTTTCTCTTTGTCAGTAATCCATTTTCTGGCCACCAAGAGGAGGAACTGCTTATATATTATTTTTGTCTATTGATTCAGGGCATTGTAGATTATATATGAATTGAAAAGACCACAGTTTATTAGATAAAGTACTATCTTTTTTGTCCATTTCACTGTTTTTCTGAGAATGGTGTCGTATGAGAGGTACTGACCAACACCTTTCATTGTATTAGAGAACACACAGGTTTTTAGAAACAGATGAGCCATGGATGGTTGAAACCATTCTCACTTCTCTCTCATCTTTCCATATGAAAACATCACCTGTTTCACCTTTTTCCATTGTTGAAACTTCAGTCTTCAAGCTTGGTGGCAACCCTCTATTCACTCTGATTGTTCCACAGACTCTTGTAATGATTGTCCTGGTATATGTGGTGCCACAATCCAAGATTGGGAGCAAGAACTGAAAGAATAGCTTACTCTAATTTTTCCCCCCTCACCAGTATAAATCTCCATGTTGCAAATATAACCTGTGTCACTCTCACACACCATTCTCACCAGCAGGCCATATTTTACAACTTTTGTAGGGTTGTATGTTTGGAATCTTAGATGTCCTCTCCATGGAATCATGCCCTCTTCCAATGACAACTGGTTCTTTGGTTTGTTTAGTGTCCTGAATTTATTGAGGAAATAATCCAGTATTGGTTGAATTTTGAAGAGCCTGCCTGAAGACTCATCCATTTTCTGATTATCAATGAAATGCCAAAATGTCAAAATTTGTTCAAATCTGTTTCGGCTCAATGTCTGTGAAAATATTGGGCTATTCAGAAGAGGATCTGTTGACTAATAATCTTTCCAGTTATATTTTCTTGTCTGTCCCATTAGTAGAATAAGGCCTAGGAATTTCCTCATGTCTGTAGGTGTAACTTCAGACCATTGAAGTCCTTTAGATAACATTTTATGTTTCTCCGCAGTTTGATTATGGTAGGTACATATTTCCTGACAAAACATTTCAAACAAGTCATCACCAAACATTAGACTTGTCAAGGCAGCAATACTTTCAGGTTTGGAAGTTCGGTGGAGTTTCTATTTCTTACCAATTATCACAACGGGAAAACAAATCACTAACAGGAACATTTGTAGAACCATCATAACTTTCTGACTCAGAATCAGTTGAGAGCACAACAACTTTACGTATCTTTGTAGGTCTAACAACGTCACTGTAGCTAGATTCACCGTCGGAATGATCCATAAACACATCCACATCAGAATCTTCACCTTCACTTGGAAGATCTGACAAATTATCATCAAATAGTTCAGTAATTGTCTCATTTTCACTCAACACGTTACGTTTTCTGCGAGAAGCCATTTATAAAAATATGTTTTAATAAATGGCACACGAAACACGAGTAAACTTGTGACCCTTCCACAACGTGCTAACTTAAAATCTGATTAACATCTACGTTACTTTCCAAGATACTCAGATTAAGTTACTTCTGTATCGAATAAAAACAAAAGAAAAATGTACGTCATTGTAACATATGAAATTTCAGTAAATGCACAACGTTTCTATCCTACTGGGAGAGCATACAATGCAACAAGCAGATTCTGAACACACCACACATACATACATTTCTGTCTTACCTGAAGAGCGTACAAAGCAACATGAGGATTCTGAGCATACAGTTTTTTCTTCGTTGCATTGAGAGCATATTTTGGTCTAGAAAGAAGAAATAAATATTTTTAAATGTACAGTTCGATAAGTCTGTCAGTAAATAATAAATTAGAATACACTAACCGATTAACAAGAAATACTCAGCGAAACTAGGTAGATAAAACTCTTATAGATATCTTACACCATTTACCAAGACAATGAAAATACACATTGTTCTATTTCAGTAACATATACTTCACAAGTAATTCCTCAAACCAGAAAGAAACTGTCTCACGTAATATTTTAACATGCAATCTGTGAGCCAATGAGGTCAAATTTGAGGGACTAACTGTGTGGGCTACAAAGGGATATCATGGTTACCAGTACTCAAGTTAGAACCAAACAGCTTTACTCAAATAAAAAGCTCAATATGTTAACCTCAGAAAACCACACTATAATGTCCATATGTTAACCTCAGAAAACCATACTATAATGTCCATATGTTAACCTCTGAAAACCACACTATAATGTCCATATGTTAACCTCTGAAAACCACACTATAATGTCCATATGTTAACCTCTGAAAACCACACTATAATGTCCATATGTTAACTTCAGATAACCACACTATATTGTCGACATGTTAATCTCAGATAACCACACTATACTGTCAACATGTTAATCTGAGATAACCACACTATACTGTCAACATGTTAACCTCAGATAACCACACTATACTGTTGATATCTTAACCTTATAAACTACACTATACTGTTAATATGTTAACCTAAGATAACCACACTATACTGTCGGTATATTAACCTCTGAAAACCACACTATAATGTCCATATGTTAACCTCTGAAAACCACACTATAATGTCCATATGTTAACCTCTGAAAACCACACTATACTGTCCATATGTTAACCTCAGAAAACCACACTATACTGTTGATATGTTAACCTCAGAAAACCACACTATAATGTCCATATGTTAACCTCAGATAACCACACTATACTGTCAACATGTTAATCTCAGATAACCACACTATACTGTTAACATGTTAACCTCAGATAACCACACTATACTGTTAACATGTTAACCTCAGATAACCACACTATACTGTCGACATGTTAACCTCAGATAACCACACTATACTGTCGACATGTTGACCTTATAAACTACACTATACTGTTAATATGTTAACCTCAGATAACCACACTATACTTTTGACATGTTAACCTCAGATAACCACACTATACTGTCGGTATGTTAACCTCAGATAACCACACTACTGTTGATATGTTAACCTTATAAACTACACTATACTGTCAATATGGTAATCTCAAACTACACTATACTGTTAATATGTTAACCTCAGAAAACCACACTAAACTTATGAAAGAACTCACTTCTTAATCTATTAAGTGTTTGGCCACAAAGATGTTGAACTTAGGAGATTGGCCAGACCATGTTCCTATTGCACAAAATAACAGAAGTGTTCATGTTCAGGCAGGTACCATGACCTTAAAGCAGCAAATAAGCTATCCTCAGCCATCTCTAACAACAGAACTCACAAAAACCATGGAGAAAACAGCTTTATAGAGCTGAGGAACCAGATCTTGTATTGCACAACACAAGCAGCCATTACCATGTTTTGTGTAGGATTTTAATTTCAGGTGAGGATGTTACTTCCTCATAGCCTGGAAACTTCAGCCTCACTGATGGGCAATTCAGATTCCAGATATTGCAAGGAGGTCAAACCTCTGTTCAGAAGTTAAAAAATAAGATAATACAAAACAGGTTTGTTTAGAAATCAACCAACAAAACATGTCTCTGACTTGCAGACTGGATGTTTAAAAATAATAAAACACACACCATTCATTATTATCAATTTAAAAGTATTCTTACCATTAAAACATTTTAATAGCAGGAAAAAAATGGAGACAGAGGATCCCGTATTCTTAGAGCAAATAAATCAAAGTTTGGTTTATTTAGAGAATTTCTGTCACAAAAATCTCTTAGCACAAACCTATTTTCATCATTCCAAAAGATTTCACTACACAGAAAAAGCATTACGTATCCAAAAAAATTAAAGAATACATCAATGTCATGGAAACAAACTGACAGGAACTTTAAAAAAGACTTGAACATATTAAAACACACGACAAAGAAACACAAAAAATATTTTTTTGTACAGCCAGAATTTACACATATACAAAATATACTCAATTAGACAAACCAAAGTATTTCACATTAATAGTCCACCCTGCACTCATCACCTTGAATTATCTACAATTAAACGTGCTATGTGAAAAGACTTCGTGGCACTCATGGGTGTTTACTTGAATATAGAACTGTTAAAACACGCACGTTATAAAATAAGGTAGTCAACTTTCTGACATGGCAGCTGAACATGAAATTACATTTTACATGTTATGTTAGTTCTATCACATTTAGTTTTAATGTTATCCTGGATATTCAATAGGAAGGTACAGGCTATTAGTTATGTTGTCACCTTTGTCGCTCCATGACAAGAAAAATATTAATTGGAATAATTAAGCCCAAACTTAAAAATGATATTAAAAGAATAAAAGATTACAAATATTGAATTATGGTCAGTATAGAAACATAATATAACCTGGAAATAAAAAAGATACAAACTCGTGTAACTGTGTATTAATATTTTGCTAATATCTCTTTTAAATTGAAATACAAAAATACTATTTTGCCTCAGATCTGAAGAAAGTCAAACTCCCTTGATAACTTACTGCACATCCCCTTGTCTAATACAGTCACTGATCTGTAGAATAGACGTCCAATCAGGTTCCAAGAGGAGATGGCTGGTAGCTTTCTCTAGAGAAAAAATACATTAGAAAATACCTGGCTTCAAACTGTTATAGCACAGAGTAAGCAACAAAAAATACATTAATCAAAAGGAAACTGAAACCTCGTAGTAAGTGGGACTACATTATATTATTAGAACTTTGCTCTACTTGCTCAATTATCAACGTCTTTTCTACCAAAATGTACAATTTTTTATTATAGTTTGAGGTTAACACATCATCAGTAATTCATTACCTTATGAACACGTATTACTGGTGTGTACACAGTCAATAATTATAATTTATTACCATATTAGCACATATTACCACAGGCATAGGGGGCTTGATTTTGACTGGAGGGCAAGTAGGTTTGGCTCAAAAATATAAAATTGACTTTAAAATCATGTACTATAAGGTTTAAAGTCGCTTGAAAAAAATAGTTCAAATTACTTGCATACTGAACCATATGGCACTAAAGGGTTAAAAATATCACGTATGGATAATATACTTTCTGAAAAGGCATAATCAATTTGCAAATATAAAAGTTATAGATATTTATGGAGCTTTTGCTCGAATATTTTGGGTGATTTTTTGCCTGAAAAACTATTGGGGCCAGAATTTGGGGGGCAATTGTCCCCCTTCCTCCTATGCCTATGCATATTACTGGTATTTACCCAGTCAACAATTATACTTTATTACCTTATGAGCACATATTACTGGTATGTACCCAGTCAACATTTATACTTTATTACCTTATGAGCACATATTACTGGTATGTACCCAGTCAATAATTATGATTTATTACCTTATGAGCACATATTACTGGTATGTACCCAGTCAACATTTATACTTTATTACCTTATGAGCACATATTACTGGTATGTACCCAGTCAACATTTATACTTTATTACCTTATGAACACATATTACTGGTATGTACCCAGACAATAATTATGATTTACCTTATGAACACATATTACTGGTATGTACCCAGTCAACATTTATACTTTATTACCTTATGAGCACATATTACTGGTATGTACCCAGTCAATAATTATGATTTATTACCTTACGAATACATATTATTAGTACGCAAGATTTCAAAATATCTATTTATTACCATCTCTCTGGGGGGAGGGTACAAATGGCAGGTATCAGTAAAAATTAATCAAACTTTATTATGAACTCTACAGAAGTTGAAATGAGAGCTGTTTTTGGATATCACAGGATAGCTTATGAGTTTTCTACTCAACTGTATTCATATGTATATACATTATTCTTGTAAAATAATGAACTTTCTCTAAAATAATTATTATTATCATAACACAATAATAAATATTATTTTTCTCTGCTTTTTATTAAATTTTATAATTGTACACTAGTTAAAAAAACTAGAAAGGAAAGAAAAAGTTTAATTTTCTTCATGTTCAAGATGAACACGTACATCATACAGGTTCTTCTATCCCAAACGTTTTATCGGTCGTGCTGATTTTATAATGTCAATTTTGATCAACAAAATCATTCTAAACCAAAACTAGGAATTAGAGAAAACAGGTGATTTCCTTGGTTATCTTAACAAATACTTTAAAACTAGAACATTGTGATTTATTCTATATAATTCATGTTCCCGTTAAATGATAATCAGACAGTTGTTTTGAACTTTTAACACAATGTCTTTCTCCGTGAATGACACGGCTGACAGTAATATTTTCTCTCAATTAGGCTTTCCATGCCACACAATTCAGAGTTGAATTAAATTTGAAAAACAAATCTTGTTCCATGAATTTTTACCACTTTCTGACCAACTTTTAGTTTTTAATTTATTTATTTTTTTAGGGGAAGGGGGGAAATCAAAAACTACATCACCAAATTAAAATATCAATAGCTACGTATTACTTTTCTTTATAACCATACATTTGCTGCCTCAACACTTGATATTTTTTGTTAGATTAACGTCTACTTTGTGTACTTAAATAAGTAGCAATAGTTTGTTACCTCACGATAAAATTCATAGTAAGTCTGTAAATGTGGAAAAAACATTATCAACATAAAAGTGAGAAGAAATTAAATATCCCCCCCCCCTGCTTCATCGGTTTTGCATTACAATCAACAGAAGGGGATGTGAATGTATTTTTTTTGATGAATGATAAGCTTAAGTCCCCCCCCCCAAAAAAAAAACTATCAAAATTAGAGGTGGTAAAATCTGCAGAACAATTTTTCTGGTCTGACTAAATTATGAATTTAATTCAACTATTAATCTCATAAGAATCAATCATCTGAGCAGATAGTCAAATAGAAAACAGCACTGCAAGCAGTACAGGTAACCTCACCCCAAGTTAACACTTCCAGCAGTGAAAAACTAGACCAAAGTTGACACTGCCACCAGTTTGGATTGTCTTGGCCATCTTTCTTACCAGAATTCAGTACTACAAATCTTAACCAGCATGCCATACACAATGTGACATGAAAAATGTCAACATACTTTATTGTGTAACATGTATTAGTGCTTAGGCTTACACGAGTCTTATTTCAAACGTAGTTAAGCTGTAATATTTACTTTCATATTGTTACAAAGTGTATAATTCATCAAATATAGACACATATATACCTAAATGTTGGTCCAGCATAATAGTTATCTTAATATTTCATGTACTAACTTTACAATTCCAAGTGTACACATCTTGTAAGTTCTACTTCTAGTTATCTACTAGTACTAGTACTACAAAACTCACTCCTAGTCCTATTGTCTATTAGTATTACATTCAAAATGGATACTTACATGAACACCGATATAAACGACACTCGAACAGTAGTAGTTATACTGGCAAGTTACATAAAACTAGTAAAAGACTAGTACTAGTAGTAGGCTAAGAATTATTTTTATGCTATCGCTTAGGCCTATGCTTAATAATATGAATAGCAATATACTGCAATTAGTAGCATTACTAATAACTCTTGTACACTTTAACAAAGGCTTTAGGCTAACGATGTAACAAATTACTGATAGTTACTACCAATTTAATAATAATTATTACACTACTCAATCCAGGCTAAAACTAACACTCGGAGTAAGACTTGCAAGATGCACAGAACCTTACCCAAGAGTCTATCAAAGTTTGTAGTAGTTGATCGTCCAAACATATCGAAAACTCCTTTTCAATTTCCTAATTATACAAAAATATGTTTTGCAGGGTATAATCGAGACTTTGAATCAATTAAATGTTAAAAACAGAAACTGATACTTAGGATCTCTAATTCCAACTCTTTCCTGATTTTTTAACAGATGATTTACTGCAGATTTTCATCATCAATGCCGTAAAGCTACGTACGTCATCTGGTGTTGAAATATCTAGAGGATTCCCGATTTGTTCTAGTCTACAAAAAATTGTAGAATTGGGGTATTTCTTTATTCTTTATTTATACCATATATAGCAATGTTCAACATTTATAGAACTTATGATTATTTTGGTTGCACTGATGTATAATACACTGGTAAATAGATTTTAACTGGTATTTCTTGAGGAAATATTTTTTGTTTGTTTGTTTGTTGGCTACGCCATCCAAAATATTAGTTTTACACAAAAAATTTAATTTTATTTAAACTGACCAAAAATTGCTATATACAAAAATTAATAGTCAATCTGTAGCTTCCTTTCGAGGCACTAATGTTAAGTTAATGTAAATAATACTTGGAATTTCTTTAAAATACCAGTCATAAGAATCTGATAACCTGAGTATTAAAGGACAATGGTCACCAAAACATGATTTATGATGTTTGTTTGTTTATATATATATCACAAATGAAATGCCTCTGTTTGTCCTATGCTTATTACTGAAGAAACAAGGGAACCTGATAAATTCATAGTTCATAAATTCATTTTCACTTGTATACGCATTTCTGTTCCCAAAACAACCCTCACGTGCTGTGACGTCACAGTTGTGATAATTGTTCAGTCTCGTACAGTTTCAGACAGGAAGGTGTCGGAGTTATATACAATAACTAAAACGTTTACGTCTGTAAAATGGCATGTTGCATCGTATACAGATGGAACAGTGATTCCAGACCTGATAACAAACTTGTAGTGATGTGTGTACATGTAGGACTGCCATGTAGTAACAATAACTAGACGTGGACTTCAGAAAGATTCAATTTATTCCGTGTAATTTTGAACTTCAAAACATTTTAAACTATCCTCTGGTATTTTTGATTTTATGAATCATGTAAAAACCAAATTATGTTGCTTACGAAGCACGGGATGGTTTGCAGAAAAGTAAGAATATTGCAGGAACACGCTTAACTGAATTGATTCTAATTATCCTTCTTATGAATATTTATATATATCAAATATACTGTACGTTTCAAATTAAACCATGATACATTTTTATGTCGAAAACAAATAACATTACCAGGCTACATTGTCCGTTCACATATCTTGGTTTCGGGCCCGAGTCTTGGATGTGTCTTCCTTTGATTCGTCTTGAGACATATCAGAGATTTCTTCAGTCTCAGGTTTATTGTTTACATTTTCTAACACTGGGTCAATTTTATGCTGTTGAATATTGTCTAACTGGTGTACATAGCTCGTCGTCAATGGTATATTCTAAATCCATGATCCGATATTGACTGTAGTTGAAAGTGCACATGTCATGACATTTACAGTGTTATATTAAAAGGTTAAAAAGACCTCTTTAAGTTTATTTAAACTGACCAAAACTACTATACACAAAAATTAATAGTCAATCTGTAGCTTCCTTTGAGGCATTACCATTAATTAATTGTTAATAATGCTTGAAATTCTTTTAAAATACAAGTCATAAGAATCTGATAGCCTGAGTATTGAATCTTAGTTGCTTTTGACGGCCACAGAATAACAGTCTGCTGTAGTTTCTTCGTGCAAACTTTATAATTCTACTTGAACGTCTAAAGAAATTTGTAACCTATTTATCGCTTACTTAGAATATCAAGTAAATTTTTGGACATTCCACGACACTTATTTAGTTACCGGAATTTGACAATTTTAACATTTCCAGAAGGTAAACATTGCCAGATTTATTGTAGGCTACATGATATTTCTGAAACAATAGAACATTAACAGAGACAGATAATTAGGAGGCAGTTAGGCCCAAGAATTATCAGTTCTTTACGTTTTTTGACAGGTGACTTTTACTATTAATGCAGTAAAGATGCTTCCACCATATGGCGTTAAAATATGTGGAAATGTTTCGTTTCATTGGAAATCTAGATGTGTATTTCATTATATTTTATTTGTGATATATTGCGATTAACAACAATATTTACATAGAAACGTTCACTGAGGGTCCAAGAAGGGGGTTGCAATCCCCTTTCCAATGGACTACCAAACAAAGGTGCTCTTAAACCTAACAAAGAGTTGTTTTTTTTGTTTCATGACCTGGTGGAAGAACAACCCCCTTACCAAAAACCTAGATCCTCCCCTCTATTGTGTAGTAGCAATGAGTTAATTTTGGGGAAAAGTTGTTGAAGTCGATGTTTTTAGTTTCAATTTATTTAACAAAAAGCAAACTAATCTCATTTTAAAATATAGTTAGTTTAAGCTCAGTGTATTTATCTATACTATACTCGAAGGATATATATATATATATATA